ATCATCATCATCATCATCATCATCATCATCATCATCATCATCATCATCATACACTGCTCTAATTATGACCACAGAGCCATGTTTCCAGGCAGGAAGTGCTCAGAATACTCACCTGCTCCTTTTCAAACTGCATCATTTTCCTGAAAAACTCAACTGAGAATGGACGGCTTTCCTGTAAACTAAAAAGGAATAGGGAGAACATTAGTTCCCACAGTGAGCAGAAAGCCTTCTATTACCTATAAACATGAATAAAGAACCAGGTTTTGCTTCCACAACAAGTCAGCAGCAATCTCAGACAAAACAGGATCTGATGGAGTCATTCCCATGCCTCAACTTAGAGCGACTGACCCTTCACCTCTCCTAACTTAGTCTCTTGGGGTTACAAGAATGTAAGGCTCCACACATCTGCTTTAAACGAGTGCTGCTATGAACTTTTACTAGCGAGGCTATAACTTTTACTATCAGGCTGTCTGATGCTCAGCAACTCTATTCAAAACTCGGATGACAGCGCAGTGTTAACTACATAAGAAGCAAGTCTTAAGATGATGTACTAGGCTGGAGATACAGCCCTAGTGGTATAGCCCTTGCCCAGGTACAAGGCCCTGGGCTCAATCCCGACTGCTTTCAAAAGAGATGATCTGCTAACAGAGCTGCTTGTGGTCATGACACAATTACAGTCATCAATGACAGTGCGCTCTCATTTTCCCCATGTTTGAACTGAAGTGTGCAAAACCAGAAAAAGGAAATACATTTTGAAAGTTTCTCAGATTAACACTTCAGACACTATTTGTAACCCACAAAATCTGGGTTTGAGGGGCTGAGTATGGGCAAAAAGACCTGAATAACTATGAGTACCTTTTGAACACTGCTTTGGCCTTTTTGTAGCCACCACTTCGATATGCCCAATCCAGGTATTTCTCCTTCAGAGTTACTGAACTGGCACCAGTGACAGCCAAAATAGCTTTCTACATTTAAAAGAAAAAAAACAAAAACAAGCTCTGTAAAGGAACTTAGAACAAAAGACATTACCAAGACCCACCCCAAGCCACTAAGTAGTGACTTAGGATATGAAATAGCATTTCTTACACCACAAGGGACAGAAGAGGGAGTCTGTACCTTAAAGACTGCTTCAGTGTCCTCTTGGCTTTTAGCATTTTCACTCCATTCTGCCCAAGAAATCCACAAGGGCAGACAAACCTGTTCACAACAACAAAACTGTTAGATGTGAAAACTCATCACTGTAAAGTCAGGGTCACTGCAGCCCCTAGCCAAATCATCCAGAGCAACACTTTGATAACTTAGTCCCATTCTGATGGGGACTCCTAACTGTGGCCACACCCACTCAGGCCCATGGCTAACCAAGTCACGAGTCTGTGGTCTGGGAGCCTCTACTTAAGAACAGATGGAGGCTGGCCTGCCTGACCTTCCCTGTGTAGAGGCAGATGGCAGAGGGCAATGCTTGTTCCCCACCTTACTCTCTGCAGTACGTTTTCCCACTCACTCATACAAAAGATTCACTGTAAAATAGGATTAGAACATTAGAGTCTAAATTTTTGTGATTGCAAGTTGAATTTTAATCAGATGTGGATGCAAATGAGAATATACTATTAGTATTTTTCATTTATAAGATATTTAAACAGAATAAGAAATCTTACATGATTTAGTAAGCTTGCAAATAAAGGATTAGAAATAGAAGTGATTTTTCTATTCAGTCCCTGAACTGTCACCATGTAACAACAATTATCATTCTAGGGTTTGCTCTTGCTAGACAAGTTTATCACATATGAGCTTTCACTAAAATCTTAAAAGGTTTTCCAAGAAAGGGCTAGAGATATAGCTCAGCTGATAGACTGCTTGCTTACCCTGCAAGAAGCCCTGGGTTCAATCCCCAGCACAACATAAACCAGACATGGTGAAGCATACCTATAATCCCAGCACTCAGGTGGTGGAGGCAGAAGAATCAAAGTTCAAAGTGAAGCTAGCCTGGGCTACATAAGACCCTGTCTTTTAAACACACACACACACACACACACACACACACACACACACACACACACAAACAGTTTCCCAGAAAGAGAAATATGAGGACTCGAGAGCTGGTTCTGTGGTCAAGAGCAGTTGGTGGCAAAGGACCTAAATTCTGATCCCAGAGTCCACATGGAGGCTCACCTCTTCCTCAGACACAGGTGTGGGTCAGACACACGTGAAGGCAAAAACACTACTACACATAAAATAATAAAAATAAATAAATCTTTTTTAAAAAGGAATAAAATATAGAGACACAATTCACAGACCTGGGGTTTGAGGTGTGCAAAGGCTTCTTCAAAATGCGTCGCTATGTCGGGGCTGTTTGAGTCAATGAGCACCTGCAGCCTCGTCTGCCACATTGCTGCAGAATCCTTGAACAATTCCGTCCCAGCTTCTGCCACCTGCAGAGCCTCTTTAAAGAGGTCCTGGCGCAGCAACAAGTCAATCTAAGAAAGACAAAGCACACTGTAAGCACCAGTTGAAAGCAAAATCATATATATAATAGAGACATATAAAGATGATTTATGATATTAATCTCAATAGCCTTCCCACTAGACCTTTTACCACAGCCGCTAAACAGACACAAAGGGCAAGTGGAATTCCTCCCCCTTCCCTGCTTCTTCCCATAAGACTATGAGAAAATCAAAGAAGGCAGCTAAAGAGATAGATGGTTCAGTAGATGCTACAGGGTGCAGGGCCAGGACCAACAGGGCCCACAATGGGAAAGAACCTCAGGAAAGGAAGTATTCAAGCTAAGACTTAAAGAAAATCAGATGCCAGTCAGGTAAACACAGAACCCGGGAAAGAGAAGGCTTGCCAACCAGTTTACACAAGGGGCTAGAGACAGTATAATACAAGAGGAAACAGGAAATTCATGTTTAGCATGATTGCAGGGAGGGATGCCAACAAGATTAGAATAGAAGATGTTTCTGGAAATTCAGGCAGGGATCAAGTTAGGAGTAAATTAAAAAAAAAAAAAAAAAAAAGTGAGTAACTTCCTGATAAGCTAGGGCCAGACAGAAGGAGAGGAGGGCACCCCCTCTCAGTGGACTCAGAAGGGGGCAGGGAGGAGATGAGGGAGGGAGGTGAGAATTGGGAGGGAAAGAGGGAGAGGGCTACAGCTGAGATACAAGTGAATGTATAAAATTATTTAAAAATAAAATTAAATAAATAAATAAAAAGTAACTTTGCCTGAAAAAGTATGGGAAAACCAGAATAATCTTATAATTTTTACTTTTATTTGTGTTTACAACACATGTGTTTGTGAGTGTACACATGTGCATGCTGATACATGCTGATAGTGTGTGTAAGAGAGAGACATAGAGAAGACAGAGGTTAATGTTAGTAGATGTTTTCCACTATTGCCCTCTTTATACGTTTCTGCATGTGTTTATGTGTGTGATGTATGTATATGCATGTTCACATGTATGTGGTTATAAATGTGTTTGCTGGTGCACATACATGTGTGTTTTATCTATATGGATGTCTAAGGCTGATGCTAGCTTCCTCTATAGCTATACACCTTATTCACAGAGGCAGAATCATTGAGGCAGGGTCTCTCAACTAAACCCAGAGCTCCACCAAACAGCTAATCTAATTAGCCAGTTTACTCTGGGAATCCATCTTTACCTTTCACACACTAGAATTCTAGGCTAGGGACCCAAATCCTGGTCCTTAACTTGCACAGCAAACACTTAGCAGCTAACTGAAGAGAAGAACGCTTAGCCCTGCACTTCACATTTTGAGATTGTGTTTCTCACTGAACCTAGAGCTCACCTATCTAGCTGAAGAGATGAGCTCCAGGGACTCTGCCTCCCTGCACTCTGCTAATACTGCAAAAAGACAGGGGAGTAAAGAAAAGGAAAGGGAGGGAGGAGAGATGAGAATGAGAAAAGGATAGAAAGGTAGTTGAGAAGGAAAAAGTGGGAGGTAGAAGGGAGGGAACCCAGGAAGAAAGAGAAGGGAAAGGGAAGAGGAAGGGGAAGGGAAGGGAGAAGAGGGCTGGAGAGGTGATCTGCAGAGGACTCAGGTTCAATTCTCAGCACCCAGATGGCAGCTAACAACCATCCATAACTCCATTCAGTTCCAGGAGATCCAAAACCTTCTGTTCTGCTAGACTGCACACACACACACACACACACAAACACACACACATATATGTAAAACATTCATGCACATGAAACAAAAATAGACCCTTAAAAAAAAAAAAATGGGTGGTGGTGGTGCACTCCTCTAATCCCAGCACTCGAAAGGAAGAGACAGGCAGATCTCTGTGAGTTCCAATACAACCAGAGATAGACAGAGAAGCCCTATCTCAAAAAAAAAGGAGGGTGGGGAGGGAAGAGCAGGATATGGAAGAGAAGAAAAGAAACATGAAGGGAAGAAAAAAGGAAGAGGGGAAAGGGAATGCCAAATAGGTTCATTCTGATTTTTTTGTTCTGGTGTCATATATTTTAAACCAGAATAAAGTACATGGAACAGGCAGTGAGTGTGCTTTCTATGGTCTTCCTTACCCACTGCTTGTACTGGACTTCAGAAAGGAGCTTCAGGTCATGGGCCTTCCTGAATGCAAGCATGGTTCTTTCCAGCCTCTGAAATGAGAAACATCTGTCAGGCCATAAACAGATTCCAGCAGGTCCTCTGCACTGAACTGGGCAAAAGTGATTTTACACATTTCTGAGAATCCAGAGATGGGACTGAGTTCTGAACGGGTATCACTCATGATGAGATGAGCTGAGCTAAGCGCCTGAGCCTGGCACCGTCCAATCAGCAGCAAGCCCTCCCTGCTTTATCTATCCAGGATAAGGGTAAAACAGACTAGATCTTCTTGATGACAGGTCACCCACAAGCAAAAAGCAAGTGATTAAGCCCAAAATTCTGACAGCTGGACTACACCCCAAAAGAACTCTGTCCTTCTCTACAAAGTAGGCACTTTCTAACCACTCACTGAGGCTCTGCAACGTAAATCCTTACCTGGCCTCTGAGGGGCACACTACTGGTCTTCTTAGAAAACCTTTCCAAGCAAAAGTTGATGTAACACTTCCACATGGCCTCTGAAAAAGTCAAGCATCAATTAGGTTACCAGTCCTCTCAGTTCAAAGATCTTACTTCCAAGGGGACACTCCTCTAAAGAAAGTTTAAATTGGGAGCTGAAGATTCCCCAGTTGCTCTTCCAGAGGACCTGAGTTAGGATCCTATCATCCAAACTGGGTGGCTCACAACCACCTGTAACTCCAGCTCCAAGGGATCTTTGGGCTTCTTTGGGTACCAGCCTACGTGATATTGTTCACTCACAGGGGCAAACACACACATATATAAAACAAAAACAATAAAAATAAACTGTTTTAAAAACAAAGTTTAAATTAGCCTGGTTAAAAAAAAACAAAAAACATAAAACAAAAAAAAACGTTACCCCCATTGTATCAAATCAAATATATCAGATATTGGAGAAGAGCAATTGAGCAATGATATGAATTCAAAATCCTTGTCTTTAAAAAAAAAAAAAATCCCTGTCTATCTCCACTGCCTTTATTCTCCAATATTTCCAAACAAAAATGCAATCGCTAATGAAAGATAAAGGATAAAGCCCAATGTAGTGACTCATCCCTTTAATCTCAGCACTCAGGAGGAAGAGGCAGGCACATCTCTGAGAGTTCAAGGTCAGCCTCGTCTCCTCGTAGGCAAGCCAATGCTACATAGTTAGACCCTGTCTCCAAAGAAAAAAGATAATACAATCTTCTGAATTACAATTTCTTGGAGTTTGGTGGGAGTTGGCTTGCTTTCTTTTGTTTTGTTTCCAAGACAGGGTTTCAGGCAGCCAGAGTGGCCTCAATCTCACCATCTAGCTAAGGATAACCTTGAACTCCAGATTCTCCTCCTGCCTTTACCTCCAAGGTATTGACATTATAAGTATGCACCACCAGTTGCAGTTTATTGAAGTACTGGGAATCAAACCCAGGACTTCATGTTGTACAAAGGCTCTTTCCTAATGAGCTACATTCTAACTTGTACCTAAGTATTATTTCTGCCAAAAAAAAAAAAAAAAAAAAGAACATAAATACCTCTATTACTGAAGAAGTTCATGAAAGCTCTAGCATACACCTGTAATTCTAGCTTGCAGGAGGCAGAGACAGGTGGATCAGCAGTTCAAAGCCAGCCTACATTACATAAACTCTCATCATGAAAAACTCTAGCTTTTCACCATCACATAAAGACCAACTGGAAAGAGGCCTATAGGGCTAAGTATATACAGCTCAGCTGGTAGAGTGCTTGTCTAGCAGGCATGAGGTACCACACATACTGGTCCAGAAGTTCAAGGTCATCATGGCCTGTGCAGTGAATTGAGGCCAGCCTAGGATACATGACATCCTGTCTCAAAAAAGAAAAGGGGGGGTATAAAGTGGCTGGCAAGACAGCTGAACACATAAAGGCTCCTGATGCCAAGCCTGATGCCATCCGTCACCTTCCTAGTTAGGACCACATATAAGAACACACTCCAGTGAGTTGTCCCCTGACTACCATGTGTATGCTGTGGCATGTAACTCACAGACACAGTAAGGGAAGAAAAAGGAAGCCAGGCACACTGTACCCTGTCCCATACAGAGGTGCATCTTCCTGTTCTTCTCCTCCACTGCATGAAATCAGGGCACACGCTTGCCGGGTAAGCGCCCTACCACTGAGCTATATTACACCCCCAATCCTCTATACAGACTTCCCATTCCAAGTTAAGTGTTCACAACGAGAACGTCAGCTTCACGGCCACGCTCCCCTCCCACAAGACAGACTCACCTGTGGGCAGAGTCTTCACTGCCTCTTCATACACCGCACAGCACCTCTCCTCCCTGCGGCCCACCTCCACTGCTTTGGCTTGTTTCGATACCGGCTGCTCTTCACCTGGCTGAGACTCAATCTCTAGTTCTCGCCGTGCCACATAATCCCAAGTGAGTGGGTCATCAGTGTGCAGAGCTTGAAGGCTGAAAATTGCAGCTTACTGGCACCTGCCCCGAGTTAAGAAACTAATTCGAGAATAACAAAGTTCCTACGCAGAACACCATTTCACAGCCGCAATATCACGAGTCATTTGCTAGCAGGCTTTCCAGAATGACTTAATGAACAGACTTATCAGTGGTACAGTGTTGTTATATATCAATTGGATCTCAAAATGTTTCAGGCATCATTTACAGATGTTAGCTTTTAATTGGACATGGTGGTACAAGCTTGTATTCCCAGCATTCAGAAACCTGAGGCAAAATGATTCCCACAAATTCAAGCCCAGCCTAGTGAGTTCCAGATCCTGTTTTTAAAAATAAATAAACAGCAGGGCAGTAGCAGTGCATGCCTTTAATTCCAGCACTCAGTAGACAGATGCAGGCTGATCTCTGAGTTCGAGGCCAGCCTGGTCTACTGAGTTCCAGGACAGCCAGGGCTACACAGAGAAACCCTGTCTCCAAACCTCTCTCCCAAAATAAGATAAAATAAAAATAAACAAAAAACTAACAAATATTAACTTTAAAATTATTATACTCTCCAAATCAAATCAGTAGTTGTCTGTGGATATAAAAGCCTCCATGAGCCCTGCATGAACTCTTGAATTCTTATGACAGAAGCAGAGAAAAAGCACAACTTAATCCTCTACTGAAACCCCAAAGACACCCAAAGAACAAACTGATGCACGTTCTAGCTCGTCTCCTACGACATCAAGAAATGGATCCCAGGAACAGAGGTGCCTAATAGAGCACTCTGCAGTGGTTTCAGTGAGAAACATCCCCACCAAGGGCCTTGGATTATTTCCAGTTTGTGGCACTATTTGGGGAGGTTATAGTCTTTAGAAAGCACAGCCTTGCTGGAGAAAGGACATCACGGGGGACAGGGTTTGTGGGTTTATAGACATACTCTACTTCCTGCTTACTCGACCTGCTTCCTGTGCGCAGGTAAAGATGTCATCAGTCAACTTCCTGCTTATACACCATTATGAACTCCAGCCTTCTGGAACCATAAGCCAAAAACAAAAACAAACAAACAAAAAAAAAAAAAAAAAAAAACCCTCTTTCTTCTGTAAGTTGTTTTCGGTAATGGTATTTCATCACAGCACAAAAACTAACTAAGATACACAAATAATTCTTAAATACCAGAATCAAACACTGCAGATTAAATATCGACAGCATTTAGCTATAAAAAGTTATGACTACAACTCTGATTTTGCAGAAAAAAAGAATGTGTATTGATAAGTTGGCAGGATATGTTTGTAAGATGTATCCTATTTCTGAAACAAAGCCAATTATGTCAGTCAAAGAACCACTGCAGGAATATATATTTTCTATTCATAATATAACATAATTTTTCCGAAAGTGTATAAAGGATATTATTATTAGTATTATTATATTTTGTTTTGTTTTTGCTTTTTGTGACAGGTTTTCTCCTTGGCTGTCTTGGGACTCACTCTGTAGACCAGGCTGGCCTTAAACTCAGAGATCCGCCTACCTCTGCCTCCCAAGTGCTGAAATTAAAGGCATGCACCAACACTTCTAGGTGTATATTATTTTTCACTTCTCCCCAGCCTCAAATATTATTCAGAAGACATGTTCGCCTTACCATGTTTTACTTACTCATCATAAATTTCTTTTTGCAAATCTTTCGCAAAATCAAATAGTTGTGCAATTGAGAGAAGTGACACATGGAATTCTGCACCTAAAATTTAAAAATCAAGGGGAGAGGAAGGTTTGCTGTTAAATTGAAAAGACATTTTACTCTCCAAGTTTCGTTTTCTTTATGTATTAGAGTTGGTCTTCAGGGGTTTTGTCTTTTGCTTTGAGACAGGGCTTCACTGTATATATATATAGCCATGGCTGGCTCCTACTCCTTCCCTGACCTCTCATGGTATAAACCCAGGGCCTTGTGCATGCTGTGCAGGTACTCTATCACTGAGCTACAAGCCCCATCACTGACTGGCCTCCAATTCATGATCCTCCTGTCTCAGCAGGTGGTAGATGACACTATATCAAGCTCTGTTTTGTTTTCCTGGTGCTGGATCAAACCCATGATCCTATGCATAATGTACACTGAGCTATGCTCAGAGTTAGAATTGGTAGGCTTCTCACAGTGACTTTTTTAACAGAACAAAGAAGAAAGGAAATATTATCCTATATCCCCACCACATAAACAAAGACATTAGTATTTTAAAATATTTCCAACTACTCTTAAATTTCATAAAAAGGACATAAGGTAAAAATACTATCTATACTCTTTTATCTATCTATCTATCTATCTATCTATCTATCTATCTATCTATCTATCTATCTATTTTTATATGCACTGGTGTTTTGTCTACATGTGTAAGGGGGTCGGGTCCCCTGGAACAGGAGTTATAGACATTTGTGAGCTGCAATGTGGGTGCTGAGAATTGAACCCAGTTCCTTCGGAAAAGCAGACAGTGCTCTTAACTGCTGAGCCATCTCTTCAGCCCCCACTTTTTTAAATTTTTCGTTTGTTTTTCAGGAGAGGGTTTCGTCCTGGACTCACTTTGTTGGCTGGCCTCGAGCTCACATTGGTCCGCCTGCCTCTGCCTCCACCTCCCCGATGCAGAGATTCTACATGCACACCACCACGCCTATCTTTTTCATCTATTCCTTTTCAACTCATCCCAATGAGTATTCAACAAAATCTTATTGCAATTTCCAGTGATAGCTCAGAAGGAAGATTTTTCTGAAGATACAGAACACTCTGCCTAAAAGTTAAGTCTTTCTCATCACAAACAGAACACTACCAAAAACAAGTATCAGTACCCAGAGAGTATTTACCTTTAATCTTGCTTATAGAATTTTTGTAAATGATCCGTGCCAGCTCGCCTTTAAGGACTTCTTCAGGATGATCAAAATTCCCCTACAAAGTGTTACATCAACCATAACTGAAAATGCAGTACCAGGAAGTACCAAAAAAAAAAAAAAAAAAAAAAAAAGAAAAAAAACAAACCAAAAAAAAAACAAAAAAAAAAAAAAAAAAAAAAGATGGAAATGAACAGTCCTAGACTACTAGCACCACAGAACCTGTGACAAATCACAATTCCAAGGCTAGTTCCCTCACTTATAAAGTATGCAGCTTGAGCAACACTGATCATCCAACTGTTTCTCTTAGACTTTTTAAGCCATGTAATCTTAGCCTCACTCTCCATTTAGACCAGAACAGATCAGGTTATACATGCCTTGATTATACTTCTGTATAGTATTTTATTTAAATTAAAAAAAAAAAATTCTGAGGGCTGGAGAAATGGCTCAGTTGATAAAGAGCTTGCCACAGAAGTATAAGGACCCAAGTTTGTATCCCCAGTACTCATACGAAAAGCCAAGTGTGGTGGCACACACCTGTAATCCTAGTGCTAAGGAAGAGATGGATCAATAGGGTCTACTGGCCATCCAGTCTGATCAAACCGGTGAGTTCCATGTTCAGTGAGACCCCTATCTCAAAAAATAACATGGAAAGGACCAATGAAAGAGTTTAAATGGTAAAAGCACTTGCCACCAATGCTTATGACAATTCAGTCTCTGGAACTCATATAGTAGGAAAAAACCAACTCCCACAAGTTGTCCCCTGACCACATACACACATACTGCAGTGCCTATGTGCTCTCCCCAAAAACACACATACAAACACACGAATGAAAGTGTCTTATGTCCAGACACAGTTTAATCCCAGCACTCAGAAGGCAGAGGCAGGGGGTCTCTATGAGTTTAAGGCCAGCCTGTATCCCCTGACCTCCACATGTACACTGTGGAACATAAATAAATAAAAATACAAGATAAAGCCAGGCACAGTGGCGCACATCTGTAATCCCAGCACTTGTGGAGGCAGAGATAGGCAGATCTCTGTGAGTTCTAGGCCAGCCTGGTCTTTGTAAATGAGTCCAGGACAGCTGATGTTACACAGAGAAACCCTGTCTCAAAAATAATGAATGAATAAATGAAAAGATAAATAGGAACTGATGAGATGGCTCAGTGAGTAAAGGTACCTGCTGCCAACCTGACCACCAGAGATGGATCCCCAGGGCCCACGTGATGAAAGGAGAGACCCAACATCTGCAAGCTGTCCTCTGGCCTCCACACACACACGGCATGTGCCTCCCTCCACACAATATTCTTCTTTTGTTTTTCTAGACAAGGTTTCTCTGCGTAGCCCTGGCTGTCCTGGAACTCACTCTGTAGACCAGGCTGGCCTTGAACTCACAGAGATCTGCCTGCCTCTGCCTCCCAGGTTCTGCGATTAAAGGCGTGCACCACCACCATCTGGCCCAAAACAATATTCTTAAATGTAATTAAAAAATAAAATATAAGGAGGAGATGCAATTGAGGGAATACAAATCAGCCTTTTAGCTACCACATACACACACATGCATTTTCACACTCCCTCACACACAAACATATAAACATATCCCACACATGCATACCCCACCTACACACAAAGTTCTAAGCTGAAAACACAGTAAGATTACAGCAAGTTCTTTTGTTGCTGTTTTAGTTTTGTTGTTTTATCTTTTGAAGACAGAGTCTTGTTTTGTTTCAGAAACTCACAATCCTTCTGGTTCAGCTTTGTAAATGCTGGGATTAAAGATATGCCTCAAGATACCAACTCTAAAATTTAAAGCTTTTTCTTTACAGTTATTCCATCACATTACAAATTATATAAAAAGAAAAGAGCCAGGAATGGTGATGCACTCCTGTAATCTCACCTCCGAGAAGACTGAGGCAGGAGATCAAGAGTTCTAGGTTTGAGCCAGCAAGATGGCTCAGTGGGAAAAATAGTGGAAAGAGAGAATCAATTCCCCCAAGCTGTCCTCTGACCTCCACATAGCACCATGATACACACTCAAAATGTAATTTTAAAAATTAAATTGCAAATTCATCTGAAAGTAAAAAATGTAACATTAAATTGGAAGGAAAAATATATTTCAAAAACATTCTTTTATTTGTAAGGAGGCTCAAAAGACTAACAACTGACAATACATTAGGCTCTTACCATATCCATGGCAGCTTTTTCAAATTCTTGCTTTTCTTTTCTCAGTTTCTCAGCATGCATCAACTCCATCCTAAAGTACTAAAAGAAGAAAATAATGACCTAAAAGTTCTTAGAGATGCTTTGTAAATTAAAAATATTCAAGACGATTTCTTAAAAAAAAAAAAAAAAAAAAAAAACATTAGTATCAGATACAAGAAAATGAGGGAGCCATATTTTACTTTGGAATGAAAATAGCTGATATGAAAATGAGACTACTGAAAGAGGGCTGGAAAGATGGCTCAGCAGTTAATAGCACTGGCTGCTCTTCCAAAGGACCCAAATTCAATTTCCAGCACCCACATGGGAGCTTACAACTGTCTGTAACTACAGATCCAGGGGACCCAACAACCATACACAGACATATATGGAGGGAAAGCACCAATATACACCTTAAAAAGGAAAAAAAAAAAGAAAAAGAAAAAGGAAAAAAATCATTTGACATGTAATCTAAATGTAAGAGTCAAAAAACTTAATGGAAGTTTCTGAAAATGATTTTATTTAATCTCATCCATATATGGTAAAAAGTGTCCATGAAGGCTGAGTGAATAATCCAGATTTCTATGCCATTTAACAACAAAGAAGCAGAGCCGTATGAGAATATGTTTACTAAACAAAACCTCTCATTTCCTTAGGGCGGTGGTTGGAATGAGAATGGCCCCCACAAGTTCACGCATTTGAATGTGTGGTGTCCAATTGGTGGACTGTTAGGAAAAGATTAGGAAGTGTGTCCTTGTTGAAGGAGGTGTGTCCTTAGAGTGGGCTTTGAGGTTTCAAAAACACACACCGTTCCTAACTGGCATGTTCTCTCTGTGCTTCATGTTTGTGGAGCAGATATAAGCTCTCAGCTGCTATTCCAGCACCATGCTCACCTTCCCTGTTGCCATGGTCTATGCAATGATAGTCATGGACTTTAACCCTCTGCAACCATGAGCCCCTATATTAAATGCCTTTTTCTTTATTTTTTTTTTAAGATTTATTTATTTATTATTTATATATTATTCTGCCTGCAAACCAGAAGAAAGCACTAGATCTCAGTATAGATGGTTATGAGCCACCATGTGGTTGCTGGGAACTGAACTCAGGACCTTGGGAAGAACAGCCAGTGTTCTTCATCTCTGATCCATCTCTCCAGCCCTTAAATGCCTTTTTATACATTCCCTTGGTCATGGTATTTTGTTGGGATAATAAAAAGGTAACTGCAGGCAGGGTGTGGTGGCTCATGCCTTTGTTCCTAGCCCTTGGGAAGCACAGGCCAGCCTGATCTACATATTGAGTTGCAGGATGGCCAGGGCTATGTAGAGAAAACCTATCTCAAAAAAAAAAAAAAAAGAGAAAAAGAAATGTAACTAGGACACGTAGTCTCACAAAATAATAGCCACTAGATAGATCACGAATACCAAGATCCAGGAAAGTACCAATACATATATACACATGTGGCTCCAAAATATCAACCTTTTGCATCCACATGCACACACTCATGTGAGCAGGCATACACATACATGCGCGCACACACACACATACTATTAATAATTTCATTTTTAAAAATTAGTCATGCTGCCAGGTGTGGTGGCACACTCCTTTAACCCCAGCACTTGGGAGGCTGAGACAGGTGGATTTGAGTGTGAGGCCAGCTAGGGCTTCACAGAGAAACCCTGTCTCAAAAACAAGCAGACAAAAAAAGTCCTATTTGGGCTGGAGAGAGGGCTCAACAGTTTATACTGTTGAGAGGACCAGCTTCGATTCTCAGCACCCATATAAGGCTGCTCACAATACCTGTAGCTCCAGTTGCAGGGTATCCACATCTCTGGTCTCCTCAGACACCAGGCATGTAAGGGTACTCATGCTTATATGCAGGCACAGCTTTCATACACATAATAAAACAGCGGAACATAATGGCACATGCCTTTAATCCTAGGACTTGGAAGGCAAAGGCAGGCTTATCTTTCTGAGTTTGAGGCCAGCCTGGTCTATACAGAGAATTTTAGGATAGCCAAGACTACATACCATGTCTGTACTTCAAAAGTGAAGAAAAAAAATTTGAATTAACATATTTTAATGTTACTCTACTTATTTTGTTTTTATTTAATTATATCTTATGTGTATGGATGTTTTGCCTACATGTATGTCTGTGCACCACCTTGTACTCTTGCAAGTAAAAACAGAGTGCCAGATCCCCTGCAGTGCCAGATGATGATTCTGAGCCAACATGTTGGTGATGGGAACTGAACCCGGATCCTTGAAAAAAATCAGCCAGTGCTGGTAATTGCTGAATCATCTCTCCAGCCCCTCTACTATTTTTAAAAGTAGCAACAAAATTTTCAAAACCACAATTACCCATGAGAAAAAAAAAGTACACAGAAAGGGAGCCTATAACTTCATTTTACGCAGTATTTGTTCTCTATGTATCATGGAGAAACCCCTCTCATTTTAAGTATCACTCACATTCTATATGTACCATATAGATAACGCTTTCTTATTCTGTCACTCACATTCTATGTGTCATAGATAACGCTGTCTCATTCTGTGTCATAGATACCGCTCTCTCATTCTATGCACCCAAATACTCACTTCTTGATAGAGTTTTGGGCACTCAGGATGAAAACGCAGAGCCCGAAGAAATAACTGCCTGGCACTTTCTGAAGATAAGCGATCTTCCATTTCCCATTTGGCTGCCATAATCCACAAAGCTATAAGAAAAAAAAAAAATCACTTACTTTCAGTAAATTAGACTATGCTCCAATTTTAATACTTAATGAATTACTTGCTAATCTTACCAAAGGAAAAAGAGGGAGTTTCCAATGTTAAATTAGGCAACTCAGCTGGGCACAATGGCACATGCCTGTAATCCTGATCCATACAGAGGCAGAGGCAGATGGCTCTCTGTAAGTTTGAGGCCAGCCTGGTCTACAGAGTGAAGACAGCTAAGCACAGAGAAAACCTGTCTCAAAACAAACAAAAAAGTTTGGCAACTCTACCTAAAGCTAGAAAAAAGGGCTAGTGAACTCTACATAATGTGCCATGGCATGCATGCCCACACACGGTCACACATACAGAAAATAAATAATGTTCTTTTTCAAAGTTTCAATTAGAGAGGGCTAAAAATAACTCAGCAAGAAAACATTTGCCTAAAATGTACAAAGCCCTGGATTTGGTCATCACTACTGCAAAAAGCAAGACTGCTTTTGGTAAAAATGATCCCTGGTTGGTAATCTGGACGTGTCAGAAATGGTGGCAAGCTGTTGCTTTTAGTTTTCTTGAGCAAGTGACTCCTGAAATTGGGCATGGATGACGTTTCCAGAATCTCTTGCACCCATGGGTTACCAAAGTAGTTCCAAAACCAACTCATGTGATCCCTCCAGAAACCTCAATGTAGGAATCACACTGACTTTAGGGACTGTAGAAATAGCCTGCAGCCAAGCAAGGTGACACACACTTGTGATCCCAGCACTTGGGAAAGCAGAGGCAGGCAGATCTCTGTGAATTTAAGGCCAGTTTGGTCTACAAAGCAAGACCAGGACAACCAAGACTACACAAAGAAACCCTCTCTCAAAAAGCAAAAAAAAAAAAAAACAAAAAAAAAAAAAAACCAAACCAAGTTCACACCTTATTTATGGCAGTCAGTCTTATAAATCTACGTCAATGTCTTTTCCTTTTAACTTTTGAAATCACTCAGAACCTACTGCCTCCAAATAAAATGCACCTTACAGAGCCAGCAAGATTATTTTCTATCAGCTAAAAATAAATATCATCGGGCTGGGGAGATGGCTCAGTGGTTAAGAGCACTGCTCTTTTAGGGGACCGAGGTTCAAATCCCAGCACCCACATGCAGATCACAACTGTCTATAACCCCTGTTCCAGAGGATCTGACACCTCACACAAACATACAGACAGACAAAACACCAATGTACTATTAAATAAAAATACATAAATCTTAAGAAAAGAAACAAGATCTACCATCCCTCCTGTCCACAAATGCAACACCTGGCACAGGGACCAGAGGGAGACAGCCAGCAGGGATAGATAAACTAAGATACAGCAAGCTGTCTAAGCTCAAGTCCTCCAAATAATTTCTGGAGTTCATCAAGCACAGTAAATTCCAAAATGGCCTGGCTTTGAATAAAATGTAGAAAAATGACCGCTGAAGATTTTATCATACCTGGTTTGTTTGAATGAATGGCAAGCATGGCAGAGAATATCTTGCTAAGATGAGTTTTGGTACCCTGTAAAAGAGAGAAAAAACATTGTACTTCCTGCGCAGAGAAATAATTGCAATTCATCTGTAAGCAATATTATCTCTTACTAACTATAAAATCCAATGGAAAAGCCAGACATGGTGGCTCATGCCTTACACTCAACACTTGGGAGGCAGAGACAAATGGAGCATTGTATGTTCAAGACCAGCCTGGTCTACATGGCAAGTTCCAGGCCAGTTGGAACTACATAGTGAGACAGACAGACAGACACACAACCCCAAGAAAGATCTGCTATTGCTAGAGACTAAAAACAAAAAGACATAGTCATGCTTTTTATATCTAAACTATTAAACATAAACAATCTAGCCTCTGTTTGTTTGGTTTGGTTTTTCCAGACAGGATTTCTCTGTGTAGCCTGCCTGTCCTAGACTCATTTTCTGAAAAGGCTGGCCTAGAACTCAGAGAACTGCTGCTTCTGCCTCCCAAGAGCTAGAATTACAGGTGTGCACCACCACTGACTTAGAATCATTTACGTGGTCAGATATAGAAATGTGATGCTGGGGCCCAGCTTCTCTGTCTCCCTGTGTTCTTTCTCCTGTTGTTAATCTTACACATCCTGAAAAACATGGGAGTTTAGTAAACATAGAATGAAACTTAAGAGGGAGATTACAGACAGAAAAGAGGAAGCTACAGGCAACTTTACTTACCCATTTCTTACAAAAAACTATGTAGGAGAGCCAAAGTTGAACGTCATCCTGGAAGAAAAGCACAAGATAAGCTACTTGAATTTCCTCGTTATAATGCATTAGTGCACATGAGTGGAGACAGGAATGTGCCACCCACTCTTCATCTATAAGCACCTTCCTCACTGAAACACAGATCTCTTCCCCATGAAACTCTCCACTCCCACAATATGGTTCCAAGACAAAATTTCTACCTATCTAACTGGTCCTTTGCATTCTAAAGGCTTCTCAAACCAAGTAAAGAAACCCAAACCCTTACATTCTCATCTAATGTGCTTCTCAAACATATATCAGTCCCCATCAAAACTAAACATCAACTCACCAAGGTGCTACCCATCTCCAAGCCATCACCCAACCATCTCCCTGGTGATTTTCTTTACTGCCTTTTCCCTGGCAGTGTCTCATGTATCCCAGGCTAGGCACACCTTCTTTTGAACAAATATAATACCTGCCTCAGTCACTAATAACACGTAAGTAGTCAACAAAACCACTGAGATCCACTGTTTAAGCAGAGGATAACCTTGAACTTCGGATTGCCCGGGCTCCACCTTAACTCCAGTATTTCAGGTTTGTGGCACATCACAGTGATGAGATGCTGGAGACTGAACCCAGGGATTTATGCCTGCTAGGCAAGACTTTTTCTTTTTTTCCCTGACATGGGAACTCCTGAAACTAATGATGCAGTCCAGGCTGGCCTCAAACTCAGAGATCCACGTGCCTCTGCCTCCTGAGTACTAGAATTAAAAATGTGTACCACCATGCCCAGCTCTCTTTTGATTTTCTAATAGCTAATAATGTATTAAATAAGTGTTCAGCGTCATCCTCACAGAGTAACAATAAGTGGTAAGATACTTTCTTACAGTTTATGTCGTTCAAAACCTGTTTCAAGCAATGGCATATGGAAGTGAGTATTTAGAACTGGAGAGGAACAGAGGGAACGTGGCTAAACATCCAACTCATGCTATGCACACTGTTTATCGTCGTCTCTTCAAGGATGCACTGGTCACTTACTTTCCACTTCGCTGAAGCACGGCCGAAGACACCTTGTACCCGATGTACAATAGAGTATTCAATTTCATCCTTCTTAAATGAGTATTTAATTCTCTAAAGGGACAAAAACAAAACAAAGCCTCAGTTACTCACATTCATCCAAAGTAGCGTTCACACATACTCACCCTCAGTACAAAAAAAAAAAAATTCAGACAATTACAAGTATCCACTTTGGAGACAGCATTGGTTAGGAGTGTCTGCCCAACATAAAACCAACTTTAAAAAAATTAACTTACTGCTCTTCTTCTCTGGATCAGCTCCAAAAGATTAATTTCATACTATGGGGAAAAAATACAAAGAAAAGCATGAAAAGCATAACCCTTTTTGTTGTTTTGTGTTTTCCAGACGAGGTTTCTCCGTGCAGCCTTGGCTGTCCTGGACTCGCTTTGTAGACAAGGCTAGTCTGGAACTCACAGAGATCCGCCTGCCTCTACCTCCCTGAGTGCGGAGATTACAGGTGTGCACACCACACCTAAGGCATAACCTTTTAAATATAGGAAATGCATACAAATTCAATAATATGAATAAAAGACAACTTGTTATCAATGGGCAGAATTCACAATAAATTTCAAGAATTCACTGAAAAATTCATCTTAGCTCCATCAAACTTAAATATACATAGTAGCAATAAGAGGCTTGCAGGCAACTGAGAGTCACAGACAAAGCAACTAAGAGTCAAAGCACATTACTTAACAATATGAAACTTATAAGATTTATAATATCAATTAACCAGCCTCCTAACTTAAAGCAGTTAGTATTCCAATTCCAATTTTCAGTTAAAAAAAAAAAAAAACAGTGGTGGTGCATGCCTTTAATCTGTCACTCAGTTAGGCACAGAGGCAGGTGGATCTCTGAGTTCAATGCTAGCCTGGCCTACAGAGTAAGTTCCAGGACAGCCAGCACTACACAAAGGAATCCTGTCTCAAAAAAACAAAGTCAGGCATGGTAGCATGTGTCTATACCTCAGAGGCTAAGAGTAGAGAACCGTCATGAGTTCAAGGTGCTAGGAAAGTAGACCAAGAGAGACAACACTTCCAGCATTGTAGCACACTCCATTACCCTCAGCACTCTGGAAGCAGACAGCTGGGTCTCTGAGTTCAACCCTGGTCTATACAGGGGCTGCCAGGACTACACAATGAGTAATTCTATCTAAAAAACCTTTTTTTTTTTTTTTTTTAATTAAAAGACTTGCCTAGCACGTTAAGGGCCCTACCACCTCCAGACAAAGTGATGCACATTTATAATCCCAGAATTTCGGAAGTGGAAGCAGGACTGCTTTTTTCTTTTATATTTTCTTCTCTAGGTTTTTGACACTGAGCTTCATGTAGTCCAAGCTGGCTTGGAGCTTGCTATATAACCAAGATGACCATGATGTATGATTCTCCTGCCTCCAAGAACCAGGACTACAGGTGCTAGAATTACACATGTGCACCACCATACCCAGTCTTACATAGTCCTGGGGAGTCAATCCAGACCTTCACATCCTAGGCAAATACTCTACCAACTGAGAGCTGTCCCAGCCTCAGGAAGCACAATTTCAAGTTAAAATTCCCAGCATTTTGAAAAACTAAAATAGTAAAAACTGTTTTATAGGGCCTGGAGAGATGGCTCAGAGGTTAAGAGCACTGGCTGCTCTTCCAGAGGTCCTGAGTTCAATTCCCAGCAACTACATAGTGACTCACAACCATCTATAATGAGATCTAGTGCCCTCTTCTGGTGTGCAGGTGTACATGCAGGCAGAACACTGTATAAATAATAAAATCTTTAAGAAAAAAAAAAAACTTTTATAGAGCATATAAACAAGGGGCCAGACCCAATTATGATTACTGAAGAAAAAAAAAAACAAAAATTTAGTTTATGAAATTTTTCAAGCATGGAAGATCCCATGTAACTATCAGACACTATATCAAAGCTTGTACTTTGTATTTGCTTCAAATCTTTACAAATAAAATATTAGAAACAAAGTACAGTCAGAAGTGGTAGCACTCAGGAGGCAAAAGCAGGTGAATCTCTGTGAGTTCTAGGCCAGCCTGGTAGCTACAGCTATACATAAAACCCTGTTTCAAAGAGACAAGAAAGAAAGAAAAGCATAGCCCCCACCAGACAAGATGACACATGCTTTAGTTCTCCTTTTAAGTGTAAATTTTTGCCTGCATATGTCTGGGCACCATGTTCGTGCAGTATCCACAGAGGCCAGAAAAGGGCATCTAATCCCCTCAGAACTAAAGCTACAGACAGTTGCAAGCCACCATGTGGCTGGAAATCAAATCCGGGTCCTCTGGGCGAGCAGCAAGTGCTCTTAACCACTGAGCCATCTCCCCAGCCCCATGACGCACGCTTTATTCCAACACTCAGGAACATGAGATGCGTGGATGATGTGAAGCCAGCCTGTTCTACACCATGAGACCTTGTCCCAAAAGGCCAGTTTCTTGCTAAAATCCTGGTACACAACACTCTCTCTGATCTACTGACCCCACAAGAGAAAAAGCTCACTCTGACAAGTACTAAGCCTTAGAAGGTAAGGCCATTCCACATGATTATCTCTGATTTTAGTAAAAAAAAAAAAAATGTGTAGGCAATCACAGAATTCTGGAATTCTGTAGAAAACTGTCCTCACCCTCATCACTGTCTGATTTAAAAATTCTTGAAAGGACTAAAGAGCTATGGAATCACTCACTTGAACATAGTTGATAAAATCTTCCTTGAGAAGGGTTCTCCGATGTATTTTGTATTCTAAGTCAGAAGCCTTCTTGATGATAGCCCTGTGAAGAAAGCCGACTACACTATAACATTTGTAAAGTTAAACCTGAACTTAAGATTTTTATTCCGCATATACTGAAAACACAAATTTAACAGAAATACCTATTTCCTGAATACAAGTATCTTCCATAGGCAATTATCTTCCACAGGAATATGATTAACATTCCACAGAATGTTAAGAACATCCAGATATATTTTTACACCCTCAGGAAATAACCTCAGTTGCCAGAATCATTGTCATTTCCACCAGCAAAGTTAATAATGTCTAATGTGTATTATTTATACATACTACTAACAAAAGATTTGTCCTCCAAATTTAGGTTACTCTAGGGGCTTGTCTTTTTTTTCCTTGTGCATTCTCTAGACTCAAACCCAGGGTCTTGTGCATATCAAGCAAGCACCCTGGGACACTCTTAGCTGCGTCCTCAACCCTCAAGGCATAGGGATTTTGTTGTTGTTGTTTCAGGGTTTTGCTTTTGTAGGGTGTTTTCTTTCTTTTTTCGGTTTTTGGTTTTTTTCAAGACTACCAACACTCAGCTAATGCTTAGCAGAGCTTATGATAACCAAATCTCTATCCCAAAATCCTGGTCTCTATATTTTCAGTATGTAAATTCTTAAAAACCTAAACTGTCTAAAAAGCTTTATTACCACGGAACATTAACGGGAGAACACATCCCATCCTTAGTTAAGGAGTGAGCACAAACGTGCGTGTTTTAGGAAACGGAATGCAGAAAATGAATTCAATATTTAAGAATGCAGACAAAACTTTCTAAGAGTCCTCACAATGAGGCTCTAAGACCAAACGTTTCCTAACGTTTACTCTGAGCACCCCATACTCACATTGTGAAGTGAATTGGCACAGAAAATCATTAGAAGTAATTGATTTTAACAAATTACAGAATGCCAACCCTATGCCAGGCGCTGTGGCAGAGCTCTAAGGAAGCAGAGGAAACCAGTTAAATGGTCTCCAATCTACAAGTCTAGTTAGGACGTCCTACCCACTCCCCCTCGGTGCCGTGCTCGAATCTCTCAAGTTGTATACCCCAAACTTTTAAACTGTAACAACTTCTTTCATGTGAATTCTTCCGCCATCCGCACTGCCCAGCGGTCCTTCACGGGCTGGAACCCTGGCTACACCACCGTTATGGCCCCAAGACCTGCCCACTGGATGGCTCTCAGTAGGACTAGTGGGTAAACAGACTGGACGATCCGCCTCGCAAAGGGTTAAAGCTGCATTCTGGCCGTCCTCAAGGTCCTCCCGCAAAGGGCTTTTTACACTGGCCCCAGGCTCCCCGCAGCCCACCCCAGTTCCTCCCGTTCCCCGGTCCTCTCACTTAATCTCCGCGTGGCTGAAGAGTCCGATGCGCTCCAGCTGCTCCAACTCTGGGATTCGATCTTCTATGCGCTCCTGAATTATCTCCGCCATGAGGCTGGAACTTCACCAGCCGCCGGGCGGCCCACACGCGTAGGAAGCGCCCACCTCCCAGCCTCCAGGCTTACTCTCGGCGACTGACCGAACGTGCTTCGTAGGTCCCGCCTTTTCCGCTTCCGCCATTGGGAGCGTTCCCCTCGCTGCCGGAGCCGCTGTCGCCCCCGTGTGGTCGACTATAGGTTGCCGCGAGAACCCCTTCCGGTCTGGGCCGCGTCTCTGAGGGGTGGGCGGGGCCGTGGGCGGGGCCAAGCCCTCGCGCCGCGGGGGACCGGAACAAGCTCCTCGGGGCTCCCTGAAAGGAACGTCAAGTACGCTTCCTTACGGGAGGTCCTCCGTTCTTACCGTGCTCCTGCCGCAGGCCCTCACTTCCCGACACCGAGAAACTAAACACTGAAAACTGTAATCGAAGATGATGTTGTTAACTATGCAAATTCAGCCCGCGACCTTCTGTAAATCAGTGTGGTATCAGTGGATTTTCACGTGGCAACCAAAGCCACGTGAATGGGTGGCTCGATTTAAATGGTGGAAAATGATTTATTATTCAAATGATAAGGGACATCGTGCTACCAAGCTTGGCAACCAGAGTTCGGTGGAAGGAGAGAACTGACTCCCGCAAATTGTCCTCTGACCTCAACAGTCTACGGCGTGTGTGTATATACACACACAAACAAACACCGATTTTAACATTAAAAATAGATATCTAGGCGAAATATTTCAAAATAGTAGGCACTGCGTAGAAAGCAGAAACTGTAGCTTCTTTTAGAAAACAGGGCTTTGATGATGAAAAGTTTGAAAGTCGCTGAAATATATATTTACACAGATCTTCCTTACAGCATTGTCCAAGCAAATTAAAATTTCTAAGAGAATCATCCTGTAACCAACTTGAAAGCAATAGTGCTGGAAATTACCGCACCTAAAAGAAATCTCTGTGGTTTGGTTCTCTTAGGGCTTCTTGCTAGACCTGTTATTATGACACTCACATCATTGCCTCAGTCCTTCCTGTGATTTATGAAAGAGAAATAGACTTAGCAGTTACCTAGATCCACCCAGTTCCTTGCCTTCCGTTTCTTTCTGTTTAACATCTTGTCCCACTGGTCTTAGGACCCACACAGGTTTGTGTGGGCCTTCATCACTTCTCAGCCCTCTCAGGTCTAAGATCCAAGAAGTGCAAGGAAACCACGTATGTAAATTAAAGATGCGATTTCTTTGTGATGGTAAAGTAGGACTTGTCAAAATGGAGATGACTGTGAATAGCAAGTCCAGTAAGTGCCCAGCACTGAGGAGTAGAGAAATGCCTAGCTTGTAATAGAAGATGAACAAATAAATGTGCAAATGTAGGGCGTTTACAAATTTGCTTAAGGACAAGGAACTCAGTAACCTCTGACAGACAGTAACCCTTCATTGCAAGGCAAAATTGACAGACTAAGGCACTAACTACAGATTCCTTTTAAAGATTATTTATGTTTATGTTATGTACATTGATATTCTGCCTGCATGTATGTCTTTGTAACAGAGTGTCGGATCTCCTAGAAATAGAATTACGGACAGTTGTGAGCTGCCATGTGGGTGCTGGGAATTGAACTGGGATCCTTTGGAAGAACAGCCAGTACTTTTAACTGCTGAGCCATCTCGCCAGCCCTAAAATACTACAACCTTAAGTTACAGACAGAGGGTTGTTTTTGTTTGTTTGTTTGTTTGTTTTGTTTTTAGATTAATTTATTTGTGCATTTTATATATACCAGCAATCTGTCTTCACCAGAAGAGGAAATCAGATCCCATTATAGATGGTCATGAGCCATCATGTGGGTGCCAGGAATTGAAGTCAAGACATCTTGAAGAGCAGCCAAGTGATGCTGAGCTATCTTCCCAGCCTCTAACTACAATTCTTAAATCAGCTATGTTCCCCACCCTTGTTTTGAAATTTAGCTATTAATCTTACCCCTAAGAATTACTATTAGGGTCTGGAGAGATGGTTCAGCAGTTAAGAGCACTATCTGCTCTTCCGGAGGTCCTGGGTTCTGATGCCTTCCTCTGTCATGGAGGTGCACATGCAGATAGAGCACTCATACACGTGTAATAAAAAAAAAAAAAAATTAAAAAAAAAAGAATTACTATTAAAAAAGACAAAAATCTCTCTTTCTCTTTCGCTTCTGCATCCCATAATAACAGTGTCTCACTGTGTGCGTAGTACTCTGAGAATGGCCCTAAGGGCTTTACATGGCAATGCACCTAATCACATCACATAAATGTTTGTTTTATTTGGTCAGCCCTGATGGCCCACACCTTTGATCCCAGCACTTGGGGGACAGGTGGCCTCCTGTTTGTTTAAGGGTTTTTGTTTGTTTGTTGGTTTTTTGTATTTAAGGCAAGGTCTCTATATGTAGCTCAGGCTGTCTTGGAATTTTCTCTGTAGACCAGGCTGGCCTCAAATTCAGAAATCCATGTGCCTCTACCTCCACCTCTGTCTCCCGAGTGCTGGGGTTAAAAGTGTGTGCCATCACACACAACTCTATTATTATTATTACTATTATTATTACTATTATTATTATTATTATTATTATTATTATTATTATTATTGCCTCCTAAAGGAGGCTGGGAGGAATATCTAGTTCAGTGGGGCAGTTAGAATGCTGAGGTCCTGAGTTTGTCGGTGCTGGAGAGATGGCTCAGGTTAAGGTTGTTCTACCTAAAGTCCTGAGTTCAATTGTCAGCTACCACATGATGGCTCACAACCATCTGTAGTGAGCTCTGGTGCCCTCTTCTGGTGTGCAGGCATACATGCAAGCAGAACACTGTATACATAATAAAAAAAAAATTTTTTTTTAAAGTTGTTTTGTTTGTTTTAATCCTTTGTGTGTATGATGTGTTTACGTGTATGAGTGTGTGGACCCATGGGACAGCTTCAGTTGTTGGTCCCTGCCTTTCCCCTTCCTTTAGTTGATGCCTAAACGAAGCTATCTGGCCCTTGAGGATTCCCGTTTCCACTCCTGTAGATCCTGGATTACAGGTGGATAATACGGATTTTCATGATCCACACCTCCTGCCCTGATTATCAAGAAAGAGTGATCGATGACTGAAAGATGTATGCTGATCATCATCCATGGCTTCAAGGAACAGTTGATCCCCATATCGGTGCTGATGAGCCAGTGTGGGAAAAGAGCAAACAACCCTCAGCTAAGGTCCTGAGACAATCTCATAAGGAGGCCACCAGAGGGACACTAATTACAAGCTAAAACGAGCATTCTTGCCTTTAAAGCACTTGAATGCAAACTTTAAAGTAAATTTGAACTTTCCCTTGGAATGGTCACATTGAACATCTGAAGGCAAAGTTCACAGAGAGCTCAGTGGCTCGGAATAGCAGGGAAAGAATGCTAGCCTCCCCACTCCCTGTTATTACTTGAAAAAGGAAAACACCTAATTTCAGACACAATGAGAGGCACCGCACCTGGAATCCCATCCCCCTACTTTGTTCAAAATCCCCCTGCCTGCTTCTCCCACACAGAGAGCCCTGACCGACTTCAAAGTCAGGCAGAAGTGACAGACCCAGCCTGCTCTTTGATGCCTAAGAACTTCAGAGCCCTCGGTGTGATTCCAAAGCGGAACCTCTGCACTTTTCAAACCTTCCCTGTTATCTTGCACCGTGGAAAACAAAAGTGCCCAAGTTTTCAGTGACGTGCCTTAAAGTATTTGGAACCAGCAACGTTTCATTTCTCTTTCTGTTATTTATAGCTCATTTTGCTCCACAAACTGCACTGGACAGTAAATTACTTCTGGCACCCAGCCTTTGTCAGCTTGCCAAAATTCACTGGAGCAAGTTTTTTACAACCCAGCTAATAAGCTCTGGAAATTAGGAGGTAAGTATAATGGAAATAATGGCACAGTTCTTAACTGCAGGAGCGCAGAGTGACGACGTGAGATTCCAGCAGATTCTGCTTCTTCACATTTTTTTTCTTCTAAAGAAATCTTCATATTTTTAAATTATTGTAGTTCATGTAAATGGAAAGGTTTTCTTTTAATTGGAAAAATTAGTTTTGTGCCTTTTCTCTGTAGTTTATGCTCTTGTAAACTCAAAAATAATATATAAATAAAAGGAAGAGGAGCAGACGAGAAAAGGAAGAGCACGAATACAGCAGTTTGGGTAAACAGCCTAACTATTAAAACTAACTGACATCTTTTAGAACCTTATTCCAAAAAGACGGGCTTCTAGACCTGGCAATTGTCTGTGAGCGAATGTATTCTACCAAAACTATGACTAATTAGCTACAGCTACTTTTTCCAACTTGCCCAGTTGCAGTCAAAATTATGTTCTTTTAAAAATTTTTTTTGGACAAAACTTGCACAAAACCGAAAGTGAATATGACATTGATTTCTATCACTGAAAGGAACTTGAGAAGTCATATCCTTTTTCTCTAAGCCTAATTCTTGCATCTGCTCCTATTCACAATTTACAAGTACAAGGAAGGTTTTTTTTTTTTTTTTTTTTTTTTTGCCTCCATCTTGTCTCACTCTGCTTCCCAATTAGACCTTGTCTGATTAGCCCCAATACCACATGCTCAGTCAGAAAACATTGACGCAAAGTAGTTTACAGTTTGGGAGTTTGTGGCCTGTGTGTGTGTGTGTGCTTGTGTGTGTGCGAGTGTGTGTGTGTGTGTACTAGTATGTATACTAAACGTGGCCCTCCCCTCAAATGTCAGCCTTCTAACAATTTTCCCACAATATCACGCTGTTTTATACCTTCCTAAATAAACATTATTCTTTGACTCTGGAAGGCCCACTATCTATTTGGCAATCTTTCTAAAATTTTTTTCAGTCAGGTGGTGGTGGAGCACACCTTTAATCCCAGCCCTTGGGAGGCAGAGGCAGGAAGATCTCTGTGAGTTCTAGCTAACCTGCATCAGTTAATCAGAATAGAATGATTAACTAACACTAACTAGGGTCACACCACGGGTTTAAGTAAACCGCATGAACACATGCCCAGTACTTCCATACAGTTCCAGTGTACTTCCTCTCTACCTCTCAGTGTACTTCCATACAGTTCCAGTGTACTTCCTCTCTACCTCTCCGTGTTCTGCCATACAGTTCCAAAGGCTGCTCCGAGGCAA